CTTAAGCTCTCCAGTCTGAGAAGAAAGTCAGACTGCAGGCCTGAGCTAGCGCCTGGCCTAGCCGTACCGCTCTCTCCTCCTAATTGTGGTTAGGATTTCTTTTCTTCTGCTTTTGGCCTCATGATGGAGCCCAGGCTGGCCTCGAACTCTCAGTGATCCTCCTGCCTCAGCCTCCTGAGTGTGGGGCTCACAGGTGGGCACCACCCTGCCCAGCCATGATCCCCATTCCTTTTTCTTTTTTTCCACGTCAGATGGGTAATGTGCCAGTGTCGTAACAAGGTTCAAAGGAGGCACTGTCATGCACGGAGCATGAACACCCAGTCATCACACTTATGAACCTGAGGATCTCATTCCTTTATCTTTCACATGTGTTTATCTCCCCTACCTGTCCCACCTCTAAATTTTCCTCCCATTCTTTGCTATTTATGTCTTTCCTTTCAATCTGGTGTTCTCCCTATGAATGACTCTGAAATTGTTTTCTAATATGCATGAGAAAAAATAGAATTTCGGAGTTGGAAGGAATTTTCTTATCTCCTATCATCCACAGGACTGGGGCGGTGCCAGGGAGGTTCCTCAGGTCCCTGGAGCTTCTCAAACTAGCAGCAATCCTCCTGCCTCTGCCTCCTGAGTGCTGGAATGACAAGTGTGCACCACCACATCCGGCTAAATTTTAAAAATTGTATTTCAGTCAAAGATAGCTTGTCGTGAATCCCCCTCCAAATCCCACTATGTAACCCAACACACTTACCCCGTCCTTCTTGCCTTTTTTTTTTTTCCCCACTTCCTGTGTCTGTACCATCTTCTTGCCCTTCTGAAGCAGCTCTGGGGTGCTTTTATGCAAGTGCCTTCATCTGGGCTGCCATGACTGCCTTGATGTCCACAATAACTGATTCAAAACCTATCCCTTTGGGGCTGGGGATTTAGCTCAGTGGTTTAAGCACTTGCCTGGTAAGCACAATGTTGTGAGTTCAATCCCTAGTACCAAAAAAAATTAAGTTGCTAATCTGCATAGACTGGGCTTAAACTTTGCATCTTCCTGCCTCAGCCTCCCAGAGTGCACCTTTGCATCCAGGCTTCACCAGATTTTTTGTTGTTATTATTGTTGGGATTTTTTGTTTTATTTTTTTCATGTTTTGGTTCTGAGGACCAAACCCAGGGCCTCCTGCTGCAGACAAGGCTCTATCACTGAGCTAAATCCTTAGGTTTTTTGGTCTTGTTTCGTATTTGTTTTTGTTAAAGTTGGGGTCTCAATACACAGTTCAGGATGGTTTTGTATTCACTCTAGCTCAGGCTGGCCTGCAACTCACAACGATCCTCCTGCCTCGGCCGCCAGTGCTGAGATGACCGGTGTGCACCATCACACCTGACTCATTACAATTTTCTGTTGTTACATATATAAAACCGAACTACCCAGCCTAGTTTATTTATTTATTAATTTTTTTGTTTTTTTTGGTCTTTTCATTTTTATCGGTACCAGGGATCGAACTCACGACTGCCTGCTTGCAAGACAGGCACTTATGCCGCTGAGCTAAATCCCCAGCCCCAGCCTAGTTTATTTAGTAAACATTATTTTACCACATGACAGGCAGTGCTGTAACTCCTGGGGCTATCTGGATGACAGAAACACAGCTCTGGCCCATAAGCAGCTCGAGTCTGGCAGTGGGGAGCGAGAATTACAGAAAAGATTGCTGAAGAACTATGGGAGCCATGATGGCAGGAAGCTGGGCAGCACCGTGGTGTGAAGGAGAGCGTGCCAGGTCACTGTGGGGGCACGCGCCACCACGCTCTACTCCGTTCTGTTTCTGAATATCGGATTGTGACAAATTCCTTCCTCCGCTGATGCAATATCACTTCCTCTTTTCCACCTAGTGAGGAGTCTCCTGCGCCCTCTGCAACATCACAGGGCGAGCTCACAGCCTTCTGTGCCACCATCAGACCCAGACAACCTGCCTACATCTGACAGTCGGCTATCTGAGGACAGCCGTTACTTATCACCTCAGTCTTACGGTTGATATTTTTGTTTTTATTTTTTATATTTTGCTTTTTTGAGACAGGGTCTCACCATGCAGTTCAGGCTGCCCTTGGATTCACTATGTAACCCAGGCCGGGCTTGAACTCCAAGCAATCCTCCTGTCTCAGCTTCCCAAGCACTGAGATTACAGGTGTGTGCCCCTATATGTGCCTCCTGCACTAAAGGCTCCTAAACTCACCAAATTCTTTCTCTTCCTGTCAAGTTTCAGCGTCATTTCCCAACACGATGTCTCATTGAAGCTTGCATTAATTAGTTCCTCAGTATCATTCTTTTTTTTTTTTTTTGTCCTATTGAGGCAGGTCTCCAAATGCAATTCAGGCTGGCCTTGGGCTCACTTTGTATCCCAGGCTCATCTCAAACTTGCTGAGGATTCCCCTGCCTCAGGCTCCTGAGTGCTGGGATTGCAGGTGTGCGCCACCACGCCCGGCTTTTCTTTCTTTCTTTCTTTCTTTCTTTCTTTCTTTCTTTCTTTCTTTCTTTCTTTCTTTCCTTCTTTCTTTTTTTGTCTGTCAGTGTTATTCTGAACTGGTCCAGGCAGCTTGAGTCAGCCCACAATAAAGCCAGTTTATTATCTCTGAATCTTCCTGCACACCTGTGACTGAACCGGGTTTGGTGAGGCCTAAATCTTTTTCACTGAAAATGCCGTCAAGCCTGTCCTCCTGCCAGTGCAATCGACTTTTTGTTTTGAAACCTAAATGTAGGCTGTATCCATGCTGACCTTCACCATATTGATTCTGGCACTTTGTTCCAATTGTGATGGTTTATCACATTGTAAACATACACCAAATCATCATACTGTACCCCAGAAAAATATACTATACAATCATTTGTTTGTCAATAAAAAAAGTTTTAAATCTTAAAAAAAAAGGATTATGTGAAATCTTGCTTTTATCATCTAACCTACTACTTTTCATTTTTAAAAACGTTCGCTGGGGGCTTGGGAATGTAGCTCAGTGGCAAAGTGCCTGCCTGGCAAATCGTGGTCCTGAGTTGATTCCTGGTACAAAAAAAAAAAAAAAATTTGCTGCAGCTGGATGTGGTGGCACATACCTGTAATCCGAGCACTCTGAGAGGCTGAGGCGGGAGGATCTCAAGTGTGAGCCTGGCTAAGCAATTTAAGAAAACTCTGACTCAGGGGCTGGGGATTTAGCTCAGCGGCATAAGCGCCTGTCTTGCAAGCCTGTGGTCGTGAGTTCGATCCCTGGTACCGGTAAAAATACAAAAAAAAAAAAAAAAAAAAAAAAAGAAAACTCTGACTCAAAATAAAAAAGGGATGTAGCTCTTTAATAAGGCCCTGAATTCAATCCCCAAGTATAGCAGAAAACAAAAAGTTTCAGGTATAGTAGTACAGGCCTGGAATCCCTGCACTTAAAGGTTGAGGCAGAAGGATCACTGTGAGTTTAAGGTGACCCTGAACTGCATAGCAAGATACATTAAAAAAAAGAAAAAAAGCTTGGTAGGATAGCAAGGACCCTCTTATTTATTTATATCAGTACCAGGGATCGAACTCACAACCGCACACCCTTGCAAGGCAGGCACTTATGCCACTGAGCTAAATCCCCAGCCCCAGGACCCTCTTATTAAGGACGTGAATCTACTGGTAATATCTGATTTTTTTCTTTTTTCAGTAGTGCTAGGGCTCAAACCCAGAGCCTTCAAGCACTTTGCCAGGTTTTTAATTTCATCTTACTTTTTATCTTTTGATGCTCAGGCTGGAGTCCATGGGCTCACATGTGCTAAGCAAGTGGGAACCTTCGAGCTACCCTCACAGCACTGCTTCACATGTTTATTTTGAGAAAGGGTCTCACTAAATCCTCGGGGCTGGTCTTGAACTCTGGGGAGAATCTCAGAAGAACAGGGAAAATTAAACAGTTCCGGGGTACATGGCTGGCTTGGGAGTTTGCTTCTCTGGGTTTTTTTCCTTCCAGTTGAAGCCAGGGCCTTCACACAGAGCTGTGCCCCTGGCTCCCTGCCCCTACCACTGTTTCTGAGACTGGTTCAAACTTGGAATCTTCCTGCTTCAGCCTCCTGAATACTGGGATTACCAGCTGGAGCCCCTGTTCCCTAGAACTCCTGGCTCTGATCTTCTCCCAGTGCCTTGGGGCAGAGGAATCCTAGTTTCTGTGGCTGCCTGGGGGAAAGACTGAGGGCTCACAGAGGCAAAGGCAGACAGCAGCTTTGCTTCTGAGGTCTTCGTTTTGGGGAACCCTTTTCTGAGGTACCCTCGAGTCCCAAGCTGACTTCTTGGTGCTCGCTTTGCCTCTTTACCTGCCCTCTGAACGACACCTGGTCTACGGGGAAAGCCAGACCTTCCTTGGCACTGCACGCCTACACAGCTTTCCTTGTCTGTTTATTTACTTATTTATTTTTAGAGACAGGGTCTTGCTGTGTTCAGGCTGACCCTGAATTCACTATGGAGCCCAGGCTGGCCTCAAGCTAGCAGCGATCCTCCTACCTCAGCTTCCCAGTTACAGGAATGCAACACACATCTGCAACAACTACCCAGTTTTGAAGGTGAGCCACACACACACAGCTGTGTATAAAGGAATCACCCTCCCTGCAGAGTCCCCGCCCTTTGCTATGTGCAGACCCTCCCTCTGGCAATTCTGGGGGGGGGTCCCTGAGATACCCATCCCTCATTGTCTCCCCTTCTCCTTCCCTGTGGAAGCCCTAGGTCTCTGTATTTTCCTGGGTTTTTCCACTCCAACTTAGGCTTTGGTGCAATTTCCCCTCTGGCTCTCTGCGATCTCCCTTGCCAAGGAGAAAACTGTTTCTAGGGTGGCAGCTTCATAAACAATGCATGTTTTTTCTTTTAAAAAAAAAAAGCAAAAAAAAAAAAAGCATGTAACTCTGTCTCCATCTTTTTCATGGCTTCATAATATTCCATTTGCATATGAAACTGGGATGAACTCAACACATAGATTCCAGGGTACTGTGCAGGGCGAGCAAAGAATTGTACTTCGAATGCTAAAACAAAGAAGCTGCATTTATTGAAGAGGATAAGGGGAAAACGTATTCAGGGCAGATGCATGCCAGCAGAAACCAGTATGGAGCACAATCAGCAAAGTGGTGCAGCGCTGGCAGGAAAGGTGAGAAGCCCACAGATAAATCCGGCTTTCGGCTTTCCAGGGCTGCCTTCGTCTCTAGGCAAAACAGACACAGACAGGATTGGTTAACAGAGCATCGAGTCATCCTGAGTTAGGGACAGGATTGGTTACCATTGTGTTGCAGCGGCATCTTGAGTTAGAGAGGATTAGGGTTAGGGTGCTGAGTCATTCTGAGTTAGGGACCTCCACAGTTCACTAGGGGGTCACCCCTTGGAAGTTGCCCAGACTCTAGTGGGTGGAGGGGTGTGGTCTCCTCTTCCCCACTGTGCTAACTGCGCTACATAGATAGACTATGCAGATGGGCACCAAGCTGATTTTCTTTTCGATATTTTGGAGATAGGGCCTCCCTATATAGTTCAAGCTAAACTTGAGCTCACTGTGTAGCCCATTCTGGCCTCAAACCTGTGGCGATCCTCCTGCTTCTGCCTCTGGAGGGGTAGAGTTACTAGTTTAAGCCACCACGCCTGGCTTGTCTGTATCAATTTCTAAGCATAACTGCCAGACACTTAAGGCTCTGGTCTCTGCCTTGATCCCGACTGCCTTAGCCCCTGGCCCTTTGCATTAGCGGCTCTGCCTTCTAAAGGGGGCGGGGCGGGGGTGGGGGGCTGGGAAAACAGAAACAAAATGAACAAAACAGACTGAACCCACTTCCAAGGCTGTCTCAGTCTGTGCTGAGAAGAAAGCCTGCATGCAGCACAGGGAGGGGACTCGGTCCCACCTGCCCTTGGCAGAAGCAGTCTGGCCCTTTCTGGTCTCTGGGCCTCAATCCCCTTTTCCCTGGACCTTAGAGCTCTGGAATTCGGGAGGTGCCTGAGGCCAGTGTAGGCAAGTGCTGCTCAACAGGCATCTGTTCAGCCCAACAATGTGCAGCCCCAGCGTTGGCTGTGTGGCTGGAGTCCCACATCAATAAGACTCATATTTACAACTGACTGTAAAATCGACATGATGATGCTTTCTGTCATCCCAGCACTCAGGAGGCTGCGGCAGGAGGGTCACCTTGATTTTGGGGCCAACCTGGGCTCCTTAGTGAGCTCAAGGCCAGCCTAGACTGGAGAGTGAGACCCTGCCTCCAAAAAAAAAAAAAAAAAAAAAAAAAACCCAAAACAAGAAAACCAACATGAGCACCCCCATTCGAGCATCCCCATCGCCAGCCACAGAAGCCCATGGTGCCCCTAGCAAGCTGCCTGAGAGAAAGAGAGACCAGCTGATGCTGCTCCCTGGGGCTTGGGGTTTGAAGGAAGGGATCGGACCAGGGAGAGAAACAGCTTCGGTCAGGATAGCAGCCAAGGGAGGCGTCTTCCCCAGACATTGTGCAAGCTGCAGGTGAGCCCTACACCTGGACAGGGCGTCTGCTTATCTAGAACAGAGGTGGAGGGAAGGGAAGGAGAGGGCAAAGGGCAGTGGGGCCAAGTTCTAAGGCTCCGGACTGTGTGTGCACGCATGCGTGCGTGTGTGTGGTGTGCTAATTCCTGCCACTTTTTGGCAGCTTTTCTGAAAATTGTGAGGACAGCTGCTGGTGGCCCAAATCACTGACATCACTGTGGCCACAGCCATTTCCTGCCTGTAGGTGGCCGGGCACCGGAGGTACTGCAGATGGCAGATTACTGGGGCCCCTTCTGCCTCTCTCTGTTTACGTCATTTAATAAAGTTGAGATAATACTGTTTTTGCTTTTTGTACCAAATCAGTCTTTCTTTCTTTTTTGAGACAGGGTGGCCTTGAACTCACTATGTAGCTCAGGGTGCCCTTGAATTCACAGGGATCTTCCTGCCTCAGCCACCACACCTGGCTCCTGTGCTTTGCAAATTTAAGGTAGGGAGAAAGGAAGAGAGGTTCCTTCTCCAAGAACAGCGAATAAGCAAACCACGTCCTCCACATTAACCGGATAGATTTTTCTATGGGATAAAAAATCCTTGAACCAGTGACCTGGTCCACAGAGAGACAGAGTTTCTGGATTTAGACGTGCACCAGCTTCTGTGAGCTTTTACAAAGTCATGCCCTGTCTGCACATCCAGTTTTTATTTTTATTTTTGTGGTGGGAATAAGACATTTTTGTCTCTCAGTGATATTGTGAAAAAGGCCGGGAATAATAAAAGTGAGGAAATAATTCCTGGGAGAGATTCGTTCAATTGTTTCTAATCGTTTTCAGACTGCTGGGACAAGCAGGGCTGGCCTGGCCTGCCAGCTCCAGATGCCAAGCATTGCCACGGGGCCGCTTTTGAGAGGTTTCCTCCTCGAGGAATGGAGACAGAAATAGAACCTCACTGTTCTACAAGTTCTCGTTGTCAATGGACCCCATGGAAGCACTTGGCTTGGATGTCAAAGCCAGAGTGTTAGAATGTGGGTCAGTTTGAGCAAGAACATACTAATGAAAGCTGGGTAACACAAACAGAAAGAAATGACCCTTGTTTTGCTTTGTTTTTTGAGACAGGGTCTTGCTATGTAGTCCAAGCTGGCTTTGAATTCACTTTGGAACCTAGGCTGACCTAGATAACTTGAGGCAATCCTCCTGCATCGGCCTCTTGAGTGCTGGGATTTCAAGCATGCACCACCAAGCCTGACTCTTTGTCTGTTTGTTCTTTTATTTATTTACTTATTTATTTTTGGTACCAGGGATCAAACCCTATGACACTATGGCAAGCTCTCAAGCCACTGAACTAAATCCCCAGCCCCTCATTTGTTTATTTATTGAGAGAGGATCTCATTACTTTGCTAAAATGTCCAGGCTGTGCTCACACTTGGGATCCTCCTGCCTCAGCCTCCAAAGTGCGGGGTTTTAGGGTCACCACCATGACTGACTTGTCTACCTTTGATTTTCATTGGCTAAACCTATACATATCAGAAAAAAGCCGCAGGAGTTCAAGCTGTGAAAAATAAACTGTAATCTATATCGTCAGACCGTTTAGAGTATTCAAGGTGAACATGAAAATAGACGCAAACGGAACAGTAAAACAATCTAGGGCTGGGGATGTAGCTCAGTGGCACAAGTGCCTGCCTGGTAAGTGCAAGGTCCTGAGTTCAGTGCCCAGTAGAAAACAAACACATGCACAAAACCCCACAAAAATCCAGAGAACGACAGGAGAAAAGATGAAATATACAGAATATAATCATGGAGATAAAAGTGTAGGCTCCAAATCCCAGGCACACACACACACACACACACACACACACTTTCAGGAAAATTATGCAGCTTAGGGAAAAGGAAAGAGAAAATGTCAAGGAGGAGGATAGAAATGTAGAAAAGAAAGTTGTTTTTTTGTATTTTTGGAGAGCTCTTGCTATGTAGTTCAGGCTAGCCTTGAACTCTCGGTGATCCTGCCACCAGGCCTGACTATAAGTACCTCTGTTTTTGTTTGTTTTTTGGTGGTGCTGTGGGTTGAACTCAAGGTCTTATGTGTGCTAGGCAAACACTCTACCACTGAGCTACCCAGCCCAGGAAGGTCTAAAGGGTAATTCGCTCAAGCTCTCAAACTGTTGAAGGCAGCCCTCAGTTGACCAAGACTGTGACAATAGTAATCTTGTTTTTTTTTTTTTTTTTGGTTGTTTACAAAACAATAGTAAAATAACATAAGAACCCTCTTTTATATTAGAGTTACCTCTTATCATCTTTTATAACCCCTAGTATTCAGTATTTTATTTTCATTTTGTTTTGCTTTTTTTTTGAGACAGAATCTCATCAGGTATTCTAGGCTGGCCTTGAACTCTCTATGGAGCCCAGGTTGGCCTCAAACTTGTGATCCTCTTGTCTCAGCCTCCAGAGTGCTGGGATTATAGGCAGGTGCCACAATGCCCAGTTTATTTTATTTTCTTGAGACAAGGTCTCAGTATGTAGTTTAGACTGACCTTGAACTCGCTGTGAAGCCCAGGCTGGCCTTGAACTCACAGGGATCCTCCTGCCTCAGCCTCCTGAGTGTGGAATTACATACCTGCACCAGCATGCTGGCCTCACATGGTTACAGTTGTTAGTAGTAGTCACTGTCCTGAACACAGTGTCACCCACTTTATTGCATGTACACTATCCTTCACTGAAAGGTTATATATGCACCTCATATAAACAAGCCATAAATGTTTAACAAACAAAAGCAGATTGTCCTTCTGAAGAACCAGATTATGAATGATAACGGAAGAGACCTCACTCTTCCAAACTATGGTAGAATTCGAGATTCTGTTTGGATACTTCTTGATTAATTTCCCATAAATATGCATTCATCACAGCGGTTTTCTCTGTTCCCCATCAAAGATTGAAGCTTTGACCTTTAGAGGCAGACAGGATCAGGCCGAGAACGTCTCTGTCTGCATCGCTGTCACTATCAGTGCCATAAAGGTGTGAAGGCAGCAGAGGCAGTGACAGAGAGAGAGCCAGCCCTGGCTTCCCAGGTGGCCTGTGAGCGGCTACTGAGCTGTACACAACCCTTTCAGAGTGATTTCCCTTATAAACGTGGCACATGACCACCCTCCGCTGGGTTTTTGTTTGTTTGTTTTTTGTCTTTCTGAGACAGGGTCTCACTATGCGAGACAGGGTCTCACTATGCAGTTCAGGCTGGCCTTGAACTCACTATGTAGCCCAATCTGGGCTCAAACTCCTAGCAATCCCTGTGCCTCAGCCTCCCAAGTGCTGGGATTACAGGCACGTGCCACCATGCCTAGCTTTTTTGTGTGTGCTGGGAATCCAACTCAGGATATCAAGCTTGCCAGGCAGTTGTTGTGCCACTGAGCTGTAATCCCTGGCCCTGGCCACCCTATTCTAAACGAAGGCCATCTTAGAAAAGAGTATTTAAAGTATTTGAAGTGACAGTTGATCTCTGTGGGGCCTGCTGATACTAACCTGGGCTATTTCCTACAAAGTGAGTACCCCAGGGTATAGGGAAATCAGAAAAGAGTCACAAAAACTGTTTCAGGGAATTCACAGTGTGAAAAAAATTTTTTTTTCCTTTTTCCGTTTTTTATCGGTATCAGGAATCGAACTCACGACCACCTGCTTAAGCACCTGCACGACCACCTGCATAAGCAAGGCAGGTGCTTATGCCGCTGAGCTAAATCTCCAGCCCCCACAGTGTGAAAAATTAAACATGACCAAACTCCAATTGATTCTCAAGAAAAAGATTTTCACAAACACAAAGCTATTCTTTTTTTTTTTTTAAAGTCAAAGAATTGCAAAGCCACAGCCCCTCCATTTGACATCTTGAAAGCAGATTTTCAGATTGAGAAAGTAAAAACCCATAGTGCCAGGCTGAGGACTTAGCTCAGAGGCTTAAGCTGCTGCCTGGTAAGCACAAGGTCATGAGTTCAATCCCTGGTAAGGAAAAGAAATTTATGGTGCCGTTACATTTAGGCTTCTGATAAACAATGAATTAGTTATGTTTTGGTTTGGTTTTCTTTTCATTTTTGCTTCTGAGACGGAAACAGGCTGGCCTCAGACTCATCCTCTTCCCAAGTGCTGGGGTTATGGGAGTGCTCCCCCTTATCCAGCTTGAATAGTTTTGTTTTGTTTAGTTTTGCTTTCAGTACTGGGGATTGAAGCCAGGGCTTTCCCATTGAGTTACAGTCCACTCTTCCCCTACCCTGGTTTTTTAGACAGGGTCTTCCTAAGTCTCTTAAAATACTCAGGCTGGTCTCAAATTTTGTGATCTTTCTGCCTCAGCTTCCCAGAGTGTTAGGGTTATAGGAATATGCCACTATGCCTGGCATAGAAATAGTTTTTTGTTTTTTTGTTTTTAGTGAAAAACTTTTAATAGAAGTATACCCCGAACTATATCCCATGAAACATTTGAGACATATTGACACCGCAAATCCGTTCCTCATGTCAGGTGTGATGGCACATGCCTATAATCCTAGGCACTTGGGAGGCCGAGGCAGGAGGAACACTGTGAATTCAAGGCCAGCCTGGGCTACATGGAGAGATCCTGTCTCAAAGATTTTTCTGTTTGTTTTTTGAGGCAGGGTCTGGCTACGCAGTTCAGGCTGGCCTTGAATTCACAGCACCTCAGCTTCCCAAGTGCTGAGATTACAAAACAATTTTTTGTTGCTTTTGTAATAAATGTATCCCCACCTTGTGCTTCACAGGACTTGCCATCCTGTGGACTTGATGGGCTGGAAGCCCGGGTCATGGGTGAGGAACACCGCTCCCCAGAGCTGTTTCTCTGTCTGGTGGCCACACCCAGGAGCAAGTGTTCTGTGCATCAGCCTGCAGTATGGGGTACTGTCACCCTTCTCCGAGCCAGCGCCTCACCTCATTGTCACAGTCAGATCTGTCTCCTTTCTGTCACCTGGCCAACTATCGTGTTATCATGTGCTCTCTCTGCTTTGACTCCTGGGTGTACAATCCTTCTTTTCCTTCTCTCTCTCTCTCTCTCTCTCTCTCTCTCTCTCTTTTATCTTTTTGAGACATGGTTTCACTATGCAGTTCAGGCTGACCTTGAACTCACTTTGTAGCCCAGGCTGGCCTTGACCTCATAGGGAGTCGCCTGCCTCAGCCTCCCCAGTGCTGGGATGACAGGCATGTGCCGCCACCACATCAGGCCTTTCAGTTCCTTGAAACTCAGATGACAGAGCAGTTTATTTTTATTTATTATTTTTTGAGACAGGAAATCATCAATCCTCCTGCCTCAGCCTCCCAATACCTCTTTTCTTTTATTTGAAGCATCTACTGCAATAAAAAAGAAAAAGGGGCCAAGGGTTTAGCTCAGAGGCATAAGTGCCTGCCTGGTAAGTGCAAGGTCTTGAGTTCGATCCCCGTTCTAAAAAAAAAAAAAAAAAGAAAGAAAGAAAGAAAAAGGAAGAAGACCTTGTTTCAGCTTCCTTTAGGCTAGCCTGAAGAGCTGACTTATCACTCTTACGGCTCATAACGTAAGACATTGGGTTTCTGTGTTCCTGTACCATGGAGGAGAAGAAAAACTATAAAAAGCAAAGGCCTTGGAAATGGTATCATTTGAGTCCCTTGTGTAGAAGGATGAAAAGTACTCGCCTGCCTGACTGCAGCTAGTGAAATTCAAACCTGAATCCAACCCGGCTAGAACTGCACTCCCTGGAGCAAATGAAAGAGGCCAGGGCCCATAAGGAGCCTCCCCTTTTGCTGCAGTGCTGGGGGTTTCTGCAAGGTGGGCGCTCCTTCCCCTCTGCTCCTGCCACCTCCCCTCCACCTGGCCACGTGTCCTTGGACTGAAAGTAACTTAATAATGAATCAGTTCAGTGGAGTACATAGGGCCAAACAACGATGACACATTTCGGTGTCTCTTGGCCCTAGACACATCAGGACAAGACACGCCAGGGTTCAGAATTTCCTGATGCGTAACTGTGCGAACTGTGGTCTCTGCCTCTTAGCTAACATAGCTATGGGGCAAGAAGAACAAATCTCTCTTGGATGGTTTAAACTGCACCTTTCTGCATAACGAATTTTGTTTTTGTTTGACCTGCCCTCATTCCTGATGTCAGGCCCCTGGGGTGTCTGTGTGATGCCTTCTTCTCCGAGAATGTATATTTTACACAGTGAGATCACACTTTGAACTAAAATAGCCCAGATTCACAAACCTGCTGGTTTCAGGCTGCTGGGCGCTACAGAAGAAGCGCCATTTGAACATCGCCCTTTGTTTCCGTGCCTTCTTTGAGTCGATTCATAACACAGAAGTGTCACTGCCTAGATCTGAGGGGTAGGGGAGACAGCAGACTCTGAGTTAGCTTTCCGGTAAAGCCCTTTCCTGGGAGGTGCATAGCTTCTATCAGAAAATGAAAGCCCCCCAATGCTTACTTTTTTTATAATTTTTTTTTTGTCTTTTTCATTTTTTTTGGTACCGGGGATCAAACTCACGACTGCCTGCTTGCAAGGCAGGTGCTTATGCCACTGAGCTAAATCCCCAGCCCCCAATGCTTACTTTTTATAGTCTTTCTTCAACTCTAGAATTATTTGTATATTGAAGACAAAATGACTGTAGTTTGAATCCCAGGAATAAACACAAGCCAATTTCCAGTTTGCCCTACTTTTTTTTTTTTTTTTTTTTTGGTACCAGGGATTGAACTCAGGACCTTGTGCTTGCCAAGCAGGCAGTTATGCCACTGAACTAAACGCCTGTCCCTTTCTCTTTCTTTCTTTCTTTTTTTTTTTGAGGAAGGGTCTTGCTGGCCTCAAACTCACTATGTAGCCCAGGCTGGCCTTGAACTCATGGCAATCCTCTTGCCTCAGCCTCCTGAGTACTGGATTACAGGCATGTACTGCTATATCCAACAGAGTATGTACTTTTTTTTTGGAACTGAGAATCAAATTGAACTCAGGACCTCAAGCTTGCCAGGAGTTCATCATGTCACTGAGCTAAACCCCCAGCCCCCAAGTGTGTATTAATCTTGACTTCTACACTAACTCTAGGAGAGCTGGCAGCAGGAGATTCTCATCTTCAATTATTTATGCAGCTAAGACTCCAAGGCAGATTGTTGTCCTAAAATCACACCCCATGAGGTGAAATCCTACCAGCCTGGCAGGGCTTACTGTCCTGGGTTTCCTCCCTTCACCCCACCTGTAACCTGGGGTTAGAGGAAGCTTGGCCCTATCACCCTCTCAGGCATGGGCTCAGCTCTGGAGCAAGGACTAGTTCCAATGTTAATGCAGACATTCACAAGAATGGCAGGGATTTAAGAAACCAAGAGAATTTAAGCCAAGGGTGGAGACACTGAGGCCCTCTTGGCCTCTGTTGCTAAGCTGCTGAGACTTTTTATCCCCTTGGTGACTCCATTGGACTGGGCTGGTTCAATTGGAGCCCATCAGTGAGAGAAGCCTGCTCAGGGGCGGAAACTCCGGAATGCTGCAGTCCCCTTCAGACTCAGGATTCCACGAGAAACTTGCAGCTGCATTCTGGAGGCCCACGTGTCACACTGTCCACTTCGTGCCCTCAATGCCATTCTTCAGAGTCGGGGGTCTCAGCTTTCCTGAGACTTGGCCAGGCTCGAGTCAATTCGGAGACCAGCAACCATCAGGCTGTGTCTACCTGTTTCTGCTGATTGTTTAGGAGCGATAACTAGGTGCAGGAAGAAAGGAAGGAAGGAGGAGCCAGGAAGACAGACAGGCGGGAATGTATGACTTTTCCACTTCCAGATGGAAAGATTCCAAGAGAAATCAGTTTGACCAGATAGAACATTTCTTTGGCACAGGTGGCTGCATATGATATCATTCTGCTTTCTATCTCTATGTCACCTAGTGCCCTATTATATGCTGTTATCCATCTGTGGAGCATGGGATGTGGGATGCCCGGTGTGGTAGCGCATCCCTGTAATCCCAGCACTCAGGAGGCTGAGGCAGGAGGATTGAAGCAAGCTTGAGGTCAGCCTGGGCTACTACTTAATGAGACCCTATCTCCAAACAACAACAACACAACAACAGCAAATGTCTGTGGGGTGGACCTGCTTGGGTTCTGCTCATATTCCCAACTACCATTCCAACCTGAAGCTACAGAAAAGAGTTAGGGCTGGGCTCTTCTGGAATCTGTTTCTTACTCCTTACTCTCCAACTGTCACGTCCCTGGCCTTTGGAAACCCCATTCATCCTATTCCACAGCTAAAGTTTATATTAGCAGAATTAGAGTTACAATTTCCACCCTTGAAAGTGACATCAAACATACGGCCATGGTTTGTAAGTCAGGACTGAACAGTACAGGAAGGCTTTGTTTTGACCTGGCATGGTGGATGTTACAATGATCTCCCAAACTCTACTTTCCTTGTCTCAGTGTTCACAGCCTGGGTTTCTCTCCTACCTGAATGTTTTGTTTCCCTCATCCAACTCCTTTAGGAGTTCTATTTGTTTTGAAGAATCTGTTTTTGCTACTTTTTGTTTTGTTTTGTTTTGTTTTGAGATAAAGTTTTGCTATATAGCTCAGGCTGGCTTCGAAAGCATGGTGATCCTCCTGCCTCAGCCTCCTGAGTGCTGAGATTACAGCTGTGCACCATCATGCCTGGGTAAAAACCATTTTCTCCACATTTTCTTACATTTTCTCTTTAGTACTTTTACTTTACCTATTACCACTCTATCTATAAAGACCTTTCTGATATTAAGAAAATAGTAGACTTTGAACTGCATACCTGTATTTGCAAGGTTTTGAAGCCACAAGGAAATAGTTTTAATATCATTACTGTTTTTTTTTTAATTGGTACCAGGGATCGAACTCACGACTGCGTGCTTATGCCGCCGAGCTAAATCCCAAGCCCCTAGCATCACTGGTTTTATGACCAAGAACAAGTCTTGTAAATTCCCTGTCTTTGTGAAGCAGATATGCATAAAGTGTGCTTAGCTCAAAGAAAAGTTATTTAAGTTGGGTTTGAGAATTTCCTCAAAAAGTCCTCCTTTCTCACAATGGGAATTGACTCTCAAGCCTTTGTACTGAGTTTCACCCCTAATGATTTTTTAAAAACATTTTGAGTTGAGTGTGATTGCATATCCCTATAATTTGAGCACTCAGGAGGCTGAGGCAGAAGGATCACTGGGAGTTCGAGGCCAGCCTGGGCTACATAATGAGTATAAAGGCCAGACTGAACTGAACTACATAGCAAGATCCTGTCTCAAAAATTTTTTTTGTTGTTGTTGGCAGAGGGAGACAAGGTATCATTAAGTTGCTAAATTGCTGAGGTTGGGCTCCACCAGGCAATCCTCCTGCTTCAGCTTCCCAGAGTGCTGGGATTGCAGGTGTGTGCCTGCATAGAGTAAGTATCCAGTCATATATGGGGAGCTGTATCCCGTGTAGTAAGCAGCGCAGGATTCACAGGACCCAGAGATGTCCTTGTCTTTTCCTTCGGCTTGGTCCCAATTCCTGCTGACATGAAGTCCACGGCCCACATACTATTTTTAATTTTCTTTGTGATTTTGCAAAAGAAGGATGTGCCTAAGGTTCATATGGTTCCTCAGCGGTATACACGTCTTGATCGGAAGGCAAAGGTTACACACTGGATAAAACAGTCTCTCTGGGTCTTTGGTTAGTCAGCTCCATAATAATTGAGTTATACTCTGTTTAGAGTCCAACTGAGAGAGGAAAAGAATCACAAAGCAAATTCTTGAAAAATAGGGCTGGGGATGTAGTTTGGGGTAGGTAAGGGAATGCAGCCCAGGCCCTGGGTTTGATTCCCTAGCCGGGCAAAACAATAAAATAAACGAAAGGTGCATTCTGTACACATACATATATATTGCAATTACAAAACAAAAGAACAAGAAAGTCAGCAAAAACCAGTACATGAGAGCTGATGGGAAGGCAGGTAGAGCTGGGTGGAGTTGGCAATCACGGCTTTAGGGGAAAGGGAGGGGCACGGGGCTGCCAGAAAGGATGAGGAGGTCTTGCCTGCAATCCAGTGAGCAATGGGAGGTGGAGAGGTTAAGCAACCTGGAGCTGTAAGAGCTAACAGTTGCTTGGCCTGATGGTGAGGCTTTGTGATCCCAGCACAGTAGGCTGAGGCAGGAAGATCACTGTGAGTTTGAGGCTAGCATGGACCACATAGTGAGTTCAAGGCCAACCTGAACTGCATTGTGAGACATCGAACAACACCAGGCATAGTGGTACATGCCTATAATCCCTATCACTCGAGGAAGATAAGACAGGAGGATCACCATGAGTTTGAGGCCATCCTGGACTAGAGAGCCAGAAGCTGTTTAAACAAAAAAATCAAGCACCAGGGTAAAGGTGAAGAAACTATATGTGGTACTGGGGCTTGAATCCAGGGCCTTTATATTGAGGTACATCTCCAGGCTTTTTATTTTTTAGTCTTTTTTTCTGAGACTGGGTCTTGCTATGCAGTTCATGCTGGCCTTAGGCTCCTTTTGTAGCCCAGGCTGGTCTTGAACTTGTAATGATCCTCCTGCTTCAGCCTCTCCCAGTGCTGGCATTACAGGAGTGCGCTGCTAAATTGTACAGGCTGGGCCCCTACCTGCTATCTTCCTGCCTCGGACTCCTAGAGGGCTGGGATTATAGACCTTGCCACTACCCTCGACTGACTTTATTTGAAACGTTAATCATGAAAGTAAAAATATTCCTAATTTTTTAAATCAGTCATTCAAAAGCCCAAACCTGTTGCTGAGGAGATAGCACAGCGCTTGCCTGACAAGCGAGATTGTGAGTTCGATTTCCTGGGACAAAAAAAAAAAAAAAAAAAAAAAAAAAAAAAAAAAAGCCAAAATCTCATTAGCTGACATAACCTGGATTGCTAAACGTTTTCTGGTTTTTTAAATATATTTCAAAATATTTCTTGAATTTGTTACTTTGAAAAAAGTAACAAAGGGTAAGGCCAAGTTAGGGATTGCCGCGGACCCGGGCGCAGAGGCAGACTGCGGTTACTGCTGCCCGGCGGCTTCCAAGGGTGCCCTGGGCCCGCCAGGTCCCCAGTCCCCGGCCCCGCGGACAGGTGCAGCGCGCCCGCCGCCTCGCCGCCCCGCCTCCTGCCCTGCGCACGCGCGCCGCTCCCCGCGGGGGCGCGCCCGTCCTTGGGGCCGCGCACGCAGCCACTGCCTCCCTCCCTCCCCCCTCTCCGCCCTCCCCGCGGCCTCCTCCCCGGCTCCCCTCCGCCCCCTTCCCCGTAGGCAGCGCGCCCGCCCGCAGCCCGCCCGCCCGGCCCCGGCTCGCCCGCCCGCCAGCTCGCGCGGGGTCTCTCTCCGCCCGCGCCCCGGGGCTCTCGTCAGGCGCTCCCCGCGCCGTGGATGTGGCTGGCCGCCGCCGCCCCCTCCTTCGCTCGCTGCCTGCGCGCCCTCGGCCCTCCGCCGCCGCCTCCCCGCCGCCTGCCCCTCCTCAGCCGCTCCCCGCAGAGCCGCCGCCGCCGCCTCCTCCACAGCCCCGGCCGCGCCGCGATGCCGGAGAAGAGGCCCTTCGAGCGGCTGCCCGCCGACGTGTGCCCCGTCAACTACAGCCTCTGCCTCAAGCCCGACCTGCTGGACTTCACCTTCGAGGGCAAGCTGGAGGCCGCCGCCCAGGTAGGCGCCGGGCCGCGAGGGGCGGGCGGTTAGGCCGCGGCGGGCGGCGGGGCCAGGGCCGGGGCCGGGGCCGGGGCTGGGCTAGGCCGCGATCGCCCCCCGGAGCGCACCTGTGCGGGGCGCCCGCACCCCTACCCCCAGCTCGGTCGGGCTCGGGGGGCGGCCCGAGGGGGTCTCTGGAGTCCCCGTGTCGTCCTGGCCTCCTGACTCAGTTCTTTGCTGCTCCGGGTGTCCCCGCACTCTACGGGGGTACAGATGGGAAGGAGCAGCCGTGGGGACCCGACCGGAGCGTGGAGGGGAGCTTCTGAAGCGGGGGAGGGGGGGAGTGGAACGAGAACGTTAATCCAGCAGCCTCGCCGAGTTCTCCCCGCCCGCTCCGGCCCAGGGGCCGGGTTTCCACGCCGATCCATCCCCTCCCCTCCCCCCTGCGCCTTCCCCTTCCCCTCGGGTGACAGTGCAGCAGCGACTTTGTTCTCCCCTAACCTCTAGAGGAGCTGCGGGAGGACCCCGCGCTGCCTTGCCTATGTCTTGGAGCTTGGAGGATGTATTGCTACAGGGATGGTTGCTTAGCAGTAAGCTTCGGAAAGCGGCTTTTAGTTTTTAGCATGCCACTGGTGAAAATATTCCATGACTCTTTTTTGCAGTTTTTGGTGAATCATACTCTCCTCCCTTCCCCCTCGGCCCCCCTCCCCCCAGGCATTATCTGGAGTTTTGATTTTGGAGACCAGTATTCGTACAGATGCCTGGAGGAGCCCTGAACAATGGACATGTATGACACATACTACTTTATGTGATGTGTTCTGTGAAGTCTGTCCTGAAAAACGGGAGCTGTTTAATAGCGATCTGTAAAAAGAATGGTGGCAAATATATTTTGTTTCATTTCTTTTTTCTTTTTTGCCCCAGCCAGAGAAGAAAATCAGTAGGCCTCAAACGTAAGAGAGCAGGGTGTAGGGCAATGAAAGAAATGTAGGCTAGTGCTCCAGTGGACTCGAAGTTGGCAGTTGTCTTTTGAAAGCCTAGAGGGTATGTGATGCAGATTGAAAATAATGCTTAAAACCTGCTGAATTTGTAAGTTAGGTTTGGGGCACTGGGTTTGAAAGCATGAGGGCTGTCGGATGCAGTTTATCCCTGTGAAAATCAGGGTGACTTAAAATTTTTCCATTAAGAGTATGAATCAGGATGAGTGCATCTTGGCCCTGCAGGAGGACCCAGAGAATTAGCTGGGAGACAATGGCTTCAGCCAAGTGACTGAAGGATTGACATAGGTTGGCAGGGGGCAGATGGGAAGGACTGTAAACAGTAGTGTGTCTTGTGACTTGGCAGCCCTTCCGAAGAAGGACCTGGCGGTGGATGTGTTCCCATTATGTGACTAACATTTAAAAAAGTGAATTGTTCCTTACCTCATTTGTTGGCATGATGGTTCATAGTTTCAGGAGGTATATGGATTTAGGAAGTAAATTTTGGGAACAAATAGTACAACGTTTTCAATAATTATTTTGTAAGGAATGATATTTTTTTTAAGAGTTGGCTAGAACAAGCAGTGACCTGCTTCTTAACCCCTTTTTACTTTTCCAAAAAAATTGGAACTACCTGAGAGACTTGATTTGTGCTATTGAGGGAAGCAAATGGTAAGAGTTTGATAGAACCAAGAAGGGACTCAGTTTTTTTTTTTTTTTTAAGTTTTGAGACAAGGTCTCTCAGTGCAGTTCAGGCTGGCCTTGAGCTCACTTTGTAGCCTAGGCTGGTCTCAAACTCACAGCGATCCTCCTGACTCAGCCTCCCGAGGGCTGGGATTACAAGCTCGGGCCACCATGCCCCGGCAGTTTTTTTTTTTTTTTTGATACTGGGATGGAACTCACAATCTTGCACTTGCCAGGCGAGTGCTTATACTGCTGAGCTAAACCTCCAGCCCAGAACTTATTTATTTATTTATTTTTGTGGTGCTTGGGATTGAACTCAGGCCTTCCACTGAGCTATGTCCCCAGCTCTTTTTAATGTGTTTTTAAATTCTGACATGGGGTCTCTAAGTTGCTAAATTATCCAGGCTGGGCTTGAACTGACCATTCTTCTGCCTCAGCCTCCCATAGTCATGAGATTATTTGTGTTGGACACAACACCTTGCAGCAGGGACTTGTTCTTTTTTCTTTTTAAACAGAGTCCTAGGGGCTGGGGATTTAGCTCAGTGGCATAAGCACCTGCCTTACAAGCAGGCAGTTGTGAGTTCGATCCCTGGTACTGATAAAAAGTTAAACAGGGTCCTATTATGTAGTTCAATCTGGTCTTGAGCTCACCATGTAGCCCAAATTAGCCTTGAAATCAGTGATTCTCCTGCCTCAGTTGGCTGGAGTGCTGGGGTTAACAGCCCTATGCCATCATGCCCAGCTGTTCGTTTGGTTTTTTGAGATGGGGTTCTCACTGTGTTGCCCAGGCTTGCCCCCAACTGGCAATCCCTGCAGGTAGCTGGGATTATAGGTGCCCTCCGATATGCCTGGTTGATTTTTAAATTTGATGCAAGGGAATAAGTGGATCTTTTTAAGAACATGAATTTTCCAAGAAAAAATTTCAGAAATTCTTTTCAGGCTAAGTGACATGATAGTGATTTTTTTCTTCTTTTTTCTTTAATGGTTCAACAATATAGTTCAGGCTAGTTCTTTTTTTATTTTTTAATTTTACTGGTATAGGGATCAAACTCACAACTGCGCGCTTGCAAGGCAGGCGCTTATGCCGCTGAGCTAAATCCCTAGCCCCCGTCAGACTAGTTTTGAAGTCAAGGAGTTCTTCCTGCCTCAACCTTCTGAATGCTAAGATTCCATGTGTGTACCCCCACACCTGGCTGACTACATGGTAGTGAATTCTAACGGGTTTTATTGGAGGGCTTTGAATTTTTAGTTGTACCTATTTACATTTTTGAAAGTGTAAAAGTTAATGTTGCCGGTTGCAGTGGCTCATGCCTGTAATCTCAGCACTCGGGAGGCTGAGGCAGGAGGATTGTTGGGAGTTTGAGACTAGCCTGGGCTACAGGTGAACTCAAAGCCTGCCTGAACTGCATAGAGACCCTGTCTCAAAAAGACCAAAAAAAAAGTTAAGTAACTAAAAATATATATTGGATTTTTTGAAATGAATGAATTAAAGCAGTAAGTTTAAATTGTTGCAGTAAGTTGGTATCTTATTGTGAAAATTTAAAAAATATTGGCAAAATTCCTATTTCTGGAAGCCTCCTAGATTTATAAATGATATTAGATGAGTTTCCTGACAGTTGGAATCATGTTACACAAAGTATGCAAGTTGCTGGATTGCTTTAGTTGCAAAATTTTATGATAAGACTAGAGTAATTTGTACAGGTGAAATATTAGAAACTTGGTGGATTTCTTTTGGGAGGGCGAGTTCTTTGAGACAAGGTCTCACTGTGTAGTCTAGGCTGGCCTTGACCTGTTGGCCTTGAACTGCTGGCAGTGCTGAGATTACAGGCGTAAACTACCATGCCTGGCCAATTCGGTGGATTTTTAACCTCTGAGATGTGCATTCTTTGGGAAGCTGGAAAAATTAATATATAGTGATTTTAAAGTTACATGTGTAGCTGGGCATGCTGGGCTCCATAAGCAAGTTCAAGGCTGGCCTGCACTATATTAGTGAGACTTTTCCCCACCCAACCTCACTCCCAAAAAGTTACATATGTACCTTTTGTCAAATTTGGCTTCTTTTTTTAATTTATTTATTTTGGTGTTTTGAAACAGATTATATATCTAGGCTGGCCTCACCATGTAGTCCAGGCTGGCTTTGAATTCTCAGTGACCCTCCTGCCTCAGTTTCCTGGGTTAAGTGCTGGGATCACAGGCACTACCATGGCCGGCTTAATTCAGCATAATTTGAAGATGTGTTGTTATGGGCCTAGAGAAATTTCTAGTTTAACGTCTATAATTCCTTTTATTTGATGTTTTTTCTCTCCCTTTTTTCTCTCTTTTCCATCCTTCTTTTTCTTTTTTCATTTTTTTGGTTTGAGAAGTGTCTCACTGCAATTGAGGCTGGGCTTGAACTAGATTATGTAGCTCAGGCTGGCCTCAAACTCAAAGTGATCCTCCTGCCTCAGCCTCTTGAGTGCTGAGAGTACAAGCACAGACCACCATGCCCAGCCCTCCCTTTCCTTTATGTTATACATTGAAGAGGAGTGCATTTTTTTGTTTTTATGGTATTGGGGATTGAACCCAGGGTTTTTGCATCCCCAGCCCTTTTTTTTTAAAAAGTTTGAGACTGTGTTCATTAAGTCAAAGAGAGTTACCCACATTGGGCTCCAGCGCTGAAATTACAGTGTGTGCCAGTGTGCTTCACAGTACGGGCTTCTGTACATATTTCAGATTCAGATCCTTTCCCTATACAGCTAATTAGCTAAAATGGGTTACAGGTTTACAAGGATTTGGCTATAGTTCCTGCTTATGAGAGTGCAGTTCATGCTATGGTTGGACTTTGTCTTACAGAGATATTAGGTGGGCATAGTGGCGCATGCCTGTAAGGTCAGCACTCTGGAGGCTGAGGCAGGAGGGTCACTATGAGGTTGAGGTCAGCCTGGGCTACATAGCGAGTTAAAGGCCAGTGTAAAACTACAGAGTGAGACCAGACCCTGTCTCAGAAAACAAAACAGAACAGAGCAATATAAAAACACAAAACAACAAAACAAAAATTTTTTTAATGTGCACCAGAGAAATTAACTTCATCAAGGCCAGCAATCAGGATATTCTAACTAATCTCTGGTCCCTACCAACAAAATGGTCACCTTGGGTGACTACACTGGCACTGAAAGAGTTATAGTAGTTTTGTGTGGCAGGCTGAAAACTTGGCATCTGAATAGATGTTACTGTCAAACCTGTGTTGTGAAATTTTATGTCCAAATTTCACATATTTTCTATGTAATCGTTGTGGGGAGTTTTTTTTTTTTTTGTCTTTTTCACTTTTATCGGTACCAGGGATCGAACTCATGACTGTACACTTGCAAGGCAGGCGCTTATGCCGCCCTGCTAAATTCTCAGACCCATGGGGAGTTTTTATTTCTTTAAAAAAACGATAGAATTAATGACTTGTTAGGATTGTGCTCAATGGATTTCTAGGAGGCCTTAACTTTCAGAGACTGAGGGTGTGGCTTAGTGGTAGAGGGGCCTGGCCTGTGTCCAGGCTCAGTGTTCAGTCCTTGGTACAAGTGTGCATGTGCACACACACACACACAGGGGAAAAACATAAAAAAGAGCAAAACAGAAGACAAATGTGGAAGGTTAGTGATAGGGAGTTGAATCTCTTCAGATTTTCTGTTCAGTCTTTTGAAATGTTATTTATGAAAAAGAAAAGAGAGCACTTTGTATGTTAGACTTTACCTGATGTCATCTGGCGAGGAGTTTTTGGGTGAG